CCAAGTTCCCACTGGCAGCCGGTGGGAGGAAGAGAAGAGGGGCAGGCAAGGAGCGCTCCACCGCTCCCCGTTCTGCTCACCCTTCGCAGCACCCAGCGCTCGGCGGCAGCCGGGTTCGGCACACCCAGAGCCCCACACCAGCTGGAGGAACTTCCAATTTCTTACCCACCTGGCAGGCACGGCAATGGGGCACGGGGCTGCTAGGAGGGAGGGCAACCATTGCACGAGGTCGCTGAAACTGGGGTAGCGGGGAAGTGCAGATCCCAGGTGGGTGAGGATGCTGCAGGGAGGGGAGGCGTGGGTGGGATGTGGATGCACAGCCTCCATTAGGTCAGACTCCATTCATTTTGCTCTTCAGGGAACAACGTGCAGCTCCTTTAGCGTCTGAGGCATTCCCAAGTGAAGAAAGAGAAAGGCATGTGGATTGTCATACCTATTAAGTTTTTATTCCACACATGGTGCTAATATACTACTAATACCTTTTCTCAAGAAGACTTACTGCCGGGTAGGACCGCAGGCGAAGCTTCGTGTGGAAACCTCTGGGGCACCCCGAATTGTGCTGCCTGTTCCTCTTTCCATAGTGAGTCCTTTCCAGATCTGGGGGTTTGGAGCCACCGTGAATCCCTGTTTAGGGGCCTTTTGGAAAACACGAAAGCAAGGACAGTATGTGTGACCAAGTCCTCTTTTCCTGGTGTAATGTGAATAACACCTCCACAACACACGGCACGCAGCACACCTCTGGGGTAAGAGATCGGGGCTGGTGAGCAGGGTGTCACTGCAGAGGACTTGCCAGCTCTCCCAAAGCAGGATTTGGCAAGCTGTACTTTTGTTTGATTTCTGAGAATATTTGTTCAACATAGTTTTCATAAAAGCCTATCTTGTAGTGCTGCATCTCAGCAAAGAAAACTGCTTTTGCACTTCTTTAAAGGAAAACTGCAGTAACATACCAGGTGCACGATCTGAAATAGAAATCTTTGGAAGTCAAACGCAAAGGACATTTAATCCTGACCAAGCAGACTAAACATTTGGTATGAAACCTGGAGAACATTCAAGATAATAATAATGTACTCTGCATGTTGCAGTACATCTCCTCTAGCAGCTGGAGTCCAAAAAGGTCACATCAACCATGAGTGAAGAAAGAAAGAAAGAAAAACACTCAGCAAGATGAATATTGCTCAGAGCATTAATTTTCCCATACTTTCTTCCACAGCAGGGTCACAAGCAATTAAGAGTCCTCATAGTGGGAACACTTCTACTGACATACTTTCCTCTCACCCACCATTTTTTTTCAAATTTCTTAATTTGGGCAGGTGGTCAATCGTGATCCAACAAAACTCATTTTTATTTGCAAATTAACCTAGAAATTAAATTTTCTCAGACAAAAGGTTGAAGTGTTCTTTCCTTCTGTACTCCTTATTTTATATGAGGTGAGCAGATCAACAGCTTTCTGTCCACTAATGTCCACTTCTGTCAAGCTACTGGAAAAATACATTAATACATTACATTACATTGCATTTATATTAATATTATACTCAATAAAGCAGGGGCTTTATGAAAAAAGGTTTGAGAAGCAAAAATGAGGCTGTGTGAGAAATACCTTCCTGAGCTTGAAGAAACAGAGCTGACAACTTTCACATCAGAGTATTTATTTTAATATTTATGTGCTCCTAAATGTTTGTCTGATTCCATTTCTCTTTGCAATTCAAGATAAATATCCGAGATTTTGGAAAAGAGGAATAGTCATCGTGATAGCAGGAAT